TTTTTTTAAAAAAAGTTTCAGACTGCAATTCCATGGGCATTTGCAAGTAAGTCCTACTGTATTTAATGGGGAGAAAGCTTACCATCCTATTGAGCAATCAGACACTATTAAAGTGGAATGTGAATTTTGTGATGCAACTTTCAAGAAAAGGATAAGGGCCATCCTTTTATACCAAAGTGAGGTGGGAAAGGAGAGCTTTTGGTCATTTGATGTCATTACCCTCAACAGGACTGAAATCTAAGCACAAAGAGCATCCTATGAACGCTGACTCAAAAGTAAATGCAACTGATTGGGACTTATGTTACCCTGTGAAGCCTGGCTGAAAATTATTTATTTATTTTATTTATTTCATCATCATGTATTAGACAACATGTATGTATGTATGTATGTATGTATGTATGTATGTATGTATGTATGTATAAACATAATTTTGGATACATGAAATGGATACGAATAAAAAGAAACATTAAGACAGGGACAGTAGGCAAATTGGTGCACTTATATACAGTTTATAAGGTAACATTAGGTTTATTAGAAGAGACTGATAAGAAATTCTCTTTTTGGGGGATGTTGTGGCAATTCTCAATCTTTTTATTTCTTTTTCCACAGCCATACGTTATATTGAAATATAAAACCATTCAGTTTTCAGTTTTAGTTTGAGGTTTTGTTTGTTTGTTTATTTTCTAGTTATTCCAAGTATGATTTCTGAGTTTAAAAAAATGAAGCTCATTTCTCATTCCATGTTCTAATTAAATTTTATTCTGGTGCACAAAATCCACTGGGATGATTCCAGATCACACTGACACTCTTTCAATACATGTACATATTATTTGACTTCCTTTCCATACAAATATATTTTATTGATAAAATAAAGGTATTTTATCCACAGGAACAGCAATCACCATCTTTCCATATAAATAACTTTTCTCTTACTTCACATAATTTAATATATGTGAGGATTTTTAATGAGATTTCAAACATGTTTATATTTTGCTGTATGTGTGTGTATGTATCTCTGTGTGTATATGTTTGTGTGTATGTGTGTATGTATGTATGTATATGTGTGTATATATGTGCATATATATGTGTGTGAAATATATATATTTCTGTCTTGGTGTTTGAAGAAGTATGAAGAGTTATGAGAATTGGAAAAATTAGGAAGCAGTCCACATCATACTGAAATCAGCCATTAAGCTGCTAAAATGCAAACGTCACCCTTTGCTCTTAAAAAAAAACCTCTAACATTTTAGCAGATGTCTGGAGATTGATCACAATCTCTGATTCCTTGAAGGTACTACACAGTATTCCAGTGTAGGACAATCTGCACATTTTTTTAAAATAGAAAAAAAAAGGATTCAGGGTAATCTAACCTTAATTTGACTAACTTCTAATGCAGCTGTTTCCAGTGTGCTGCCTCTTAAATATATCAAAATTATAAACTCCAGTATATTCAGCCAATTTGGGCATAAAAGGCAGGCAGGTCTTATCAATCTCATTGGACGGTTCTTAAAAGACAGACTTCGTCCTGTGAAAGGGAAAATAATTTCTTATCCTAAAAAAGTGTGTGAAATAGCCTTGGACCATGACTTCTATTGGAGAGGCTTGATCAAGTCACTCTCAGTTTAAGAGAACATAGGGGTTATTCTGAAGCAGAGCCATTTTCTTCAGCATCAAGAGAACAAAGTAAGGTGTCTGCTGTATCATCAAAATCAGGAAATGCCTTTATTAATATCAGCTAAGAATTTAAACATTTGTTGGTAAGTTGTCAAAATCCCTGGATCTCTGAGATGTTACAGCATGCAGAGGGGAAGAGGGTGGGATGGAGCAGAGAAAAGGCACAATCTTAAATGGATTAGTGTCTATCCCTAGGTGTTGTCATGCAGGTTTTGGGTTACATTTAGAACTATTGAGAGAGCAGTCACCAATCAAATTCACTTTGTGTCAACCTTCTTATCTTGCTTCAAATAAAGTAATGAGTCAGACCAAGAATATGAGAACAAACCCACCCAGCTATTGGGTCTTTCAAACAGGCAAACAAGACTGTGTAAGGTTTCTTAGTTCTTTTTTCTTCAAGTTTACTTATTTGAAATTTTATTCGTATATTTAAACTTCACAGTAGAGTGTAGCCATGGGAATATTGTTAGATATTCAAGTTTTGTTTAATAAATGGTATGTATATACTATTTTAATATAGAGTTTCACATTACTTCACATAGATTATACAGAAATAATCACATAGATTATTTCTGTATATTCTCAAGTAATTTTGTTCAATATTTTGATCATCATATGATAAGTGATTTTGAAAGATTACTTAGTAAGTGGATGACCAAAACAATATAAAATATACTTTGCTTATATATTTATTTATAATATTTACTATATGATGTGAACTTATAGTCTTATATATTCTTTGTGGTGTTTCCTATCTATTGGGGGGGGGGTGTAGCACTGTGAAGGCAATGGACCTACCTAAGTGCTTTGTGTTATTGGTAGAGTCAACTAGTTCTTCTGACAGATGCACAAATAGGGGGTATTGCCCTATATTCATATAATCCAGCTATCTTAGTCAATGATGAAATTCATTTTTTTTTACTACAGGTTCTGTGGGTGGGGCTTGGTGGGTGTGGCAGGGGAAGGATACTAAAATCCCCATTCCCTCCCCACTCTGGGGCCAGCCAGAGGTGGTATTTGCCAGTTCTCCCAACTATTCAAAATTTCCGCTAACAGTTCTCCAGAACCTGTCAGAACCTGCTGAATTTCGCCCCTGCTCTTAGTCTATTGAACTGTTTTGGGTTTTCACTTACCCTCTCTTTCCATCAGTAATGTGCAGGCAGGGGAGACAGAGCCTCACCACTGTTATCATGAAAATAAAAAAAAATGTAAAAGGAAAAAGGCTGAGGTAGTTGCTGCCAGAGTCACAGTGGATGACTCTGCT